GATGGATGGATGGATGGATGGATGGATGGATGGATGGATGGATGGATTACTATACAGGTATAGAGTGAAAGGAGTGAAAACGGCTGTGTCAAAACATAGGCCCTATAGGCGTACAACGGCGTACAAGACACAGCGGTGGATGTTCCAAATCCCCGTGTTCGTCCACGTAGGTCATAGCCGAAACTCGTCCAACGTCCAATTCCGGCCGTGTTCTTTTTGTAAAGTGCCCGAAACCCTTAATACATCCACCAAGTCCATCAGTATCATGAATGAGAGAAACACCTTCAAAACGAAGGTACTTCAAGGCAACCGGGTCATGACTGGAATCTCAGGGCAACCTCTTCAACACCGTTCGTCGCCGCCCCCGGCCGTTCGGCGAACCAAAGCTACGTCCGACGTCCAGACCGTCCCAAAAAGCAGCCGAGCGGGCTGGGTTTGTTGAACGAACCGTGCTGGGCTCAAGCATCCTGATTTCAAGCATCCTGGGTTCAAGCATGCAGCTTGCCATGGGACCAGACATTTAACACCTTCCAACCAAATAAACATCCAACTCCTTCAGGATACACCTCACCAGACCCCAAAAATCCAAAATCAGAGTGGTCCCGTCGACCCAAACCCCCCGCGCTTCCCTCCCACCGCACCCGCCGTCGAACCCGCCCCTCGCATCATCGGATGGTCGAAGGCTCGAGCTCAAAGACCATGGCGATGGACTCTGACGGGACGGTCGCCTGGATGGACGGTCGCCGGGCCGAAGGGCGAAAGGGGGATGCCCCCAGAGTCCATCTCCGCGTCGGGGGCGAACGACTCCGGGGTTCGGGGCGGGGCGAACGCAGATCATAGGATCTCTTAATTGCAGGACCCGACGACAAACAGGTCACGAATGGTTCGACCAGGTCAACAGGGTCCAACTACCCTCAACTAGCAGCCTGGCCGAGCGAGGGTGCTGGTATAGTTTGAGACTGAACTGTGTCAATGGTGCCTTCTAAATGTATTGGGATATTGATATGATATGAGATCAACATCTCCGCTATTCGGAATTTCCAGGAACCCTCGAAACGTCGGTGTCCTTCGCGTTGCCAGTTGCTTTGCCCAGTCTAGGGCGGTCCCAAGGCCGCAGCGGAGTGTTGCTGAAATCGTGGCCATTTGGGGGAGGTATGTATACCTGGACCCTTCTTCCTGTATTCACGGGACCTCGGTGTGTGGTTGAACCCGCTGTGAACCCGCAAACGCGTTGAAAAACCGGTGACTGGTCGGTTCACCGGACTGAGCTCGGCTTCGAAAAGCCACCGAATTCTTGGAAGGTTCCTGGTAGATGTGTGTGTAGGCGCCAGCATGCGTGGATGTTGTGGATGGCCATGGCGCGTTCGTCTTGCGATGTTTCGGAAGACGAAGGTACCGAGGGGTAGCCCGGGTCGGTCTGTGCTGAAGGTTCTTTTTCAAGGGACGTACGCTGTCTGAGGTCGGAACTGCGACACTCACTGGAAGGTCCATGGCATATTTGCTGCCCAAGCTTGCTCATCCAGGAGTCACATGTCGGGGTGCCGAACTTGGAGGATAGGAGTGCCCAGCTACTCCACTCACTGGATGGGACTAAAATCCCACCCCGTCTTGTGACCCCTGGATGAAGGACACATTACGTTGGAGAGTTGGAGCACGAACGAGAGAGGAAGATGGCCAGTCCCCGCAGATGTCCAGCTGTTCCTATACTTCCTATACCAGACGCTCTAAACTCACTGCCCGACTGGTCCTTCAAAACGGATGGGATGAGACCTGCGGACCCCTTCATATGAAGGTCCAACCCCCGAGGTTTTATGGTTTATCTATGTTTATCTCTGGCCCTTCATGTCTCCGATCCATTCACAGCTCCCACAAATGACCCACCGAACTTGCTGACCCACCTGATGCAAACTGCTGGCCGACCTCCGCACCACTTCAATTCCATCAGATAGGGGGGGTGATGAAGTTGGGTCGGTGTAGTTCAGTGTCAGAAAATCCAGCGTTGATCCGGGCCCAGCCTTCACTTCCAGCCAAATGGCCTGCACCTGAAGCAGGCCAACTCACGATCTGGACCATGTTTTTTGGGGTGCAAGAGGGCCACATCGAGTCGCCAACAAGGCCAGGTCACAGGAAGGCGCTGCGCGCGGTCTGCTAGCAAGTGCTCCTACCCTAAGGATCCGCACCCGAAACAAAACTCAGGGTTTTGAGGGTAACACAAATAACATGTACAAACCCTTGAAAAACTAGAGGCTTCGACCCCGACCGCCATGGAGGCTTCCGGACTCGGACTCGGACTACTCGAACCTCCCCCGGCTCGGGCGCTCTTCGGCTCGGTCGGACCTCCTGAGCTTGGCTCCCCCTCCTAAGCAGCGAGCTAGGAGTGAACGATCCGTACCGAATCACCACGCTGGCTTCGAACCCGTTCCGAATCACCACGCCCCGGATAGATCGATAGGCACCGAGGTTTAGGGTTGAGGGTCGGGGTTTAGGGAAGAAGTTGGGGGAGCCTCAAGTGCGGTTTTGGACCTGGGGGTCCTGGGTCTTGCAAAACGACTCCCGGACCACCTTGCAAAACGACGCGAAAGGCGACTCCTCTTCGAACAAAAACACGAGAAAACAGCGTCGAAGAAACGACCAGCTCGTCGCCGAAGAGAAGACCCAGACAACGACCGGATCCGGAGAAGGTCACGGGCGAGTCCGGGCTCTCTGTCGCTGGCGCCGGGCCGGCGCCGGGCCGGTGCACGCCTTGGGGCAGGTGCCGGACATGGTCAACTTGTTGGCTCCGTCCACGAAGTCCTGCTTAAAGCTCAACCACTCCGGCAAAGGATCACCTCGACCGACGCGGATGGTGGCGCCGTGGCGATGGCACCGGTGCGGTCCGGCCGGTCCGGTAAGGCATCACATCCAAATTCTCCAGACACTTCCGAGGTGATTTGAAATGAACTTCTGGAAAACAAGATCCTTCATATAATATGACTATATAACCTTCTCCTACTGTATAGCTCATAGACTCATATCATACTCAGGCTTTGCCTTGTGCAAGCTAGTAGTTAGAAGAGGAACACTCGGCAAGTGGTCGACCCCAACGTTGAATCTCTGCGAAAAGGATGCACCACCCGTCGGAAACGTCGGAAAGATGGTGTTCTTCTTTTCTTCGATTGTGATGACCCTTCTGACGTCCCGGGATTCAGACCATGAAATCCATGCTGGGCCCCGAATGGGCCTTAGGGTATCCTCGGACCGGTTCGAGGACCGGTCTGACGATCTTCATGCCATGCAGCTGCCGCCTTCAACAAAGCAGTCGTTCAAAAAGGACCACGATGGGTGAAGTGGAGAAGTTACAGGGATAGATGAATCAAAGCCATTTCCAGGCATCACGCTTGCCAAAAAGTGCCAAAAAGGATCCCCTTAACCGAAAGCCCAGGTCACTCCTCGACCTTTGCCTACCCTAGCATATGCTGGGGTAGGCGTTGCATCCCAAGGAGCCGTGCTCAAGAGTGAAAGAGAAGTCAATCTTGTCGCCAATCCTCCAGTGGCTATGTCCACCTCACACTGTTGATCCGCATGAGCTGAGTCCAGGGTGACAGTCTCCACCCTCTTGGGTGTGTTTGTTGGACGAAAGGAGATGCCCGAAGTGGTCGCCCTGCTTGGGGTCTACTTGGGTCGATGACGACCCGAACCGAAGGGGGGCCGGGGGAGCCGCCCGCGCGGGTCCTTCACCAGCCGCAAAGACATCAGCGGAAGAGACCAGCATCCGACTCTACAGGTGACCAACTGAAACCTGTATTCGGGCCCTGCCCTGCCCCCCCATGTGATCTGAGGAAGAGTCGGGTGGTGATCTCGACCTTCCGGAGTCTTCCGGTCGACCAACCGGCCGGTCTAAACCGAAAACCCACAGCCGCACGGCCGACAGCGGTGACGAGAGGAGGCGCCGCGGGCCCCGGCCGCGGAACACGACCTCCCAGCTGGTCCGGTCCCACAGCTGAAGCGTCCGAGTTCAGGAGACCACCGACCTCTTCCTGGATCGTCACCAGTGACCGGTCACTTGATCCCCCTAGTAGGCTTGGGCTTGTTCGGTCACTTAGTATGGCTTGTAAGTTCGGTCAGATGGGAGGGAGCTCCAGTTCGTTCGGTCACGAACGGAAGGTCCTGGTTCAGGGGGGGGAACAAACCCATTTCCAGTTGGGCCAGTTCAGAGGCGCTACATGAACGAACGACGGAAGTGGATCGTCGACGGGGGCATGGGTGAGTTTCTTCCTGGAAGAGAGTCAAAGATCAAAAACTCTACCCAGGAGTCCAGTCGAAGGTTCTGACTCAGGGAGTACCTGTACTTCAGTGAGGAAAATATCGCCTATAGATGGACTTCCAGGGTTGTAACAGCCTGTTCATTGGGGATCCACGTACCTAGTGTTGAGTTCCATGTCCATGCTTGACCGGTCAAAACACTCAACAAGTCGAACTGAACCCAGTAGCATTTGGGGTGTGAAACGATCTCATGTGATGTTTGAGTGGAAGGATGGGAAGAGCTTCGTATGTTGCATCTTGCGTCTTCGCTTTGGAGGAACATGTGGACTCACGATCTCCCTTTTCTTTGGCGGTGGATGACCAGGCGACCGAGCGACCAGGCGACCGAGCCTGCAAAAAAAAACGCCTCTTCAGCCAAGCAACTCTCTGGATCTGCAAACCACGTCTTTGGAAGTACATGATCGAAGGGCTCATTCACGTTCTCCACCACTTTAGGGTATCGAGACACAACTGAAAGAGTCTGGGGTCCCGCATCACCGCTTCCTGAGCCAGCTTCATCTTCACTCTCGCTTCCACTTTCTGAGCCAGCTTCATCTTTGCTCTCGCTTCCACTTTCTGAGCCAGCTTCATCTTTGCTCTCGCTCCCTTCACCCGAACCTCGGCATGAAGGAAGCTCAGCAGTTGGTGAGAAAATCCACAGAGACTGCGCTTGAAGTCAACCGACTGCAGGGTGAGTGAGTGAGTTCCGGGCTCCGGGTTCACCTTTTTCCGGTACATCTTGAGTGGGGTGTGAAATTGAGGATATAATGGTTCTCCACTGAACTCACTCCTGGGTAGGAGGTCTTTAGACTCCTTTCGCCGCCGGCCGAACCTCCATTTGACCGGAACCCCACCGGAACCGTCAATCAACCCCTTCGGCCTCCGGGCCCCGAAGCACCGAGCTTGAACAAGCGGAAAAAACCGAAGCACCGAGCTGTTTCACTAGGGATTGTGTTTCACCAAAATCAGGATTTGGGCGGGGGTGCTTGATCTGCCAGGTAGTCTAGTCTGTTTTTGGGGGGTGATCAAGGAAGGTATCCGGGTTTGGACCCACAGCCATTTTTTGTGGAAAACATGCAGTTGGCATACCCACAGGCTGTTTTCAGGTTGCAGACTGCCCAGGAAAAAATGAATAAGTACAGAAAGTACAAAAACTTGGCTCCCAAAAAGTTGCATCTGCATGGTTCTACGGCCATCAACCTCTACAAAACACAATGTAATGTGCGCCAATCACACAAACTCAGCAACAACCAGGCCCACCCCTGCCTTCTGATCAGAACAACCAACAGGCTCCACCAGAGCCAGACCCAAACAATTCATGGGACTGGTGTGAGGCGAAACCAAAAGTGGCTTGGTCAACGTGCATCCATCTTCCAGCCCAACGTGCTTGCCTCCATGCTAGCGATGGCCTCCATGGGATTCAGGCCTTCACCGTGCCTGGCACCTCCAAGACCCTTACAACACGGAGTCCAGCCCCCTCATCCCGCACCTTCCGTGTCATCCATGTGGATGCGCAGCGGTGCCTTGTCCGTGAGTCCTCCGCTGCCGCTGCAGCTGTACTGACACCCCCCGATCAATGTAAGTATGTCAATGGCGGGTGACTGTCATCCACGGGGGTGACTTATGACTGTCATATTCACATGATTCTACAGTTACTCCCTGAAGACTCGAATTTGCTCAATGTCCAAAGGGTGATTTATACCCCTAGAAGTCCAGGGATAGACTCTATGTTGACCGACTGGCTTGGGTGTTTCACCGATGGACAATTCCTAAAAATTCACACCAGTCAGACCCGTCTTTTTCAAGAATCGACTGGACTCCCAAGGGTCTCAAGCTTTGCCCCCCAAAGACATGCTCAGACCCAACGGCGCAGACGTTGGCCGGCGCAGCTTGGCAGGCGTTGGAGCCACCCTGAAGTCTAGGCGTCGGTCATTGTGCTGCAGCGACAAACTAAGCAAAGAGACTCAGAGGTTCTTCAGGAGCCGAATCACTTCGACCAGTTCTGGTACCCATCATGTTCTCTTCTTCAGGTCCCTGACCACGGTCAGTAGCCCCAAAAACCCCACCTCCGCATGAAAGCCGGGTGAACTTATGGGGTGAACCGGTCCGTCCGATCTCAGATGCGAACCAGGACGGTGACCACGGGGGTCAGAGCTCATGGTGCCCCTACCTCCACCTCCACGAGCCCAGGATGGGACTCAAGAGCACTGCTTTGTGACTGGGAGAAGTGGAGGTTCTCCACTTCTCCATGATGGACATCTTCGGATTTGTACGGCCGGTGACTCCATCTTCTTCCACGTGAGGAACCAGTGACTTAGCTGGGGACGCACCTGATCCGCACCACTCGGTCCAACAGCACGGTGCTCTGACCGCTGCGCGGCACGGACCGTGCTGGCAAGGCCACCGCTCCAAAAGAAGGTCCAAAGCTTCTTGGCAATAAGAGCAACCCATACATCTTGGGCCAAAACACAACCCATATCTATCATGGAGGAGAAAGTCTTTTACACATGGTACGAAAAATCGTCTCCCCGTCTGGGTCTCCTCATGTTGGTTTTTATTGAAAAGAAACACGCACACAAGAAACGAACCAAAGCACGGCTCGGCGTCCTAGCTTGTTCTTGGCCACAATCTCCAGATCTACGACTCCCTTCTGCGGCGCAGTGCCTGGTCAGCAGGGTCGCAGTTTGTGCCCAGAAAAAGGCAGGGACCGCCGAGTTTGTGAGGCCCACCGAGAAATGCCCCAAGACATCCCAAGACGTGTATAGAAACGGAACAAGTGATACAGTGATACAGATCAAGGTTGGTATCGACAAGGTATCAACTATAGATCGTGATACATCACGATCTATTTTACCACTGTATAATACATCGGTATCCAAGAGTCCCACTGCCGCTTCAAAAGGGTTGGTCCATCCTCTCTTTTTCTGGGAAAAAGAGGTGAAAGAATCTCATACCAGCACCCTCCAACAGGTCTCCTTTGGAGGGTTGTTAGGCCCTAACAGGTTTCAATTGGTGACCTGTTGGAGGGTGCTGGTATATGCTTCTTCTCTCAAAAACATCAGGCTCAGAGGCTCATCGGCTTCCGAATCAGAGAGCTTTGTTCAGGCCTCCGTGTAGGAAACCTACGAGTCATACGCAGTCGAGTCGAGTTTTCGCGTCGAGTAGTTCGCTCCCTTCCGCTCCATTCCAAACCGACCGCAACATGTTCTCGGAGCAGAATGGAACTTGGGATGCGGTGGAAAATGGAGCGGAAGGACCAAGAAGTACCAGGTCAAAGAAGCGATTTGAACCGAAAGTCAGGGGTCAAGACCTGTCCACCACCGGGTCACTGAAGATAAAGTCTAACCCTTCGAGTTCAGAGTCGACTGGACTCCGGTACACTCCCGAAAACCCACGACCCTGACAGACCAAGGCCCTTGGGTCCGATTTCTTTTCCGCTGAGCTGCAGCAGTGGTTTTCAGCCATGGGATGGTCTTTCAGGGTCTATGTTTTCCCTGGAAGTCAAGTCGACCATGTTTTGAAATGGGAATGATCTGTTTTTGTAGTGTAAGAACCTTAGTAAAACAATGGTGGTTCGGTAAAGGCTATTAGAACAATGGTGGGTCGACTTCCATCGTTTTGGTCGTTTGGTTGTTGATTTTTTGCTTCTTCGGGCGAAGGTCTATCTGCGCGGGTGTGTACGTGGGAGGTCGTTTGCTTTCTTTTGCCCGGTTTGGCATGTTGGGCACCTCGAAGGATGGTGACTTGAGCTGTGGGAGAGCCAGTGGTTTGAGGAGATCTAAGACTGTAGCTGGCGAGGCTCGAAGCTGCTGACATGAGGCTAGAGGCCTAGTTTGGTTTTCCAAAACTACATGACCGCAAGCCCCCAAAGCTTAGGGAGCCTTTCCATTCGCAACATGCCTTTCGTCAAGTGAAACTCTGCCATGAATTGCACTCCAACCAACTAAGTGACCTCTCAAAAAACCCACCATACGAACGAAGGGGGTAGGAGAAATAAGCACCAAAAAACACCCCAAAAAACATCGCCTTGGAGTCAAAGGCTGTTTCAAGAATGGTCCATGAGTCTGAGTCGCACTTCCTGACTCCTTCGACCGCCCCCCAGGACGGGTGGGGAACCCAACCCCCAACCCGCGCCTGTCAAGGTCTTCCCGTCGAAGGACAACCAGCTGGGAAGCCCCGAGGCCTGCAGCTTCAAGCCACCTGCAGGGGCGATCGAAACGGGCGATCAGCGCGATCCGTGAGACGGACTGAGACGGACTTCGGCGCACGAGAGTTGGTGAACTGGAACTGGTGGGGGTTGGAGGCGACGCGTCCAAGGGGAACGCCGTAATCCGGGAACGACCCGCCTAGTAGCGAACAACGGGGGAACTGACCTGGTGTTTGTAGTGTAAAGATGGTGAGTTGGTTCGGGATGATCCGCCTATTACATTCCATGGTGGGTCGGGAAGCCTAGGGGGAAGAGAAAGAAAAGGAAAGACTTGGAAAAGGGTTGATGACTATACCCTGGGAGTCCAAGACCGTCTTGACCATGGTCTGACTAGCTGACCTGAGTCAATCAAAATTCCTTTACTTCCGGGGGTGCCACATAGAGTCTATATAGACAGTGATATAATACCACCACCACCACCACCACCACCACCATCATCATCATCATGATCATCATTGTACCAGCCTTTGACCATCCGAAAACCTCATTGTAACAGCCTTGACCTTTGCTTTCAATTCCCAAAAAACAGCTCCAAGCCCAGCACCTATCCCAACCCACCCAACGCGCTCGAAGCGTCTCGAGCCGCGCCCCCGTCGAATGCTCCACGCAGCCGCAGTCACTCCAACGCATGTCGCGGCGCTCGAACCGGAGTCGGCGGGCCGAGCGGAAACGACCGAACGGAAGGATCGGGATCCGCTTCGGAGGCGGCAAAAACAAAGAACGGAAGCGGCGAGCCAAGGTCCACGGCCGTTTTGGGTGATAAAACCGGGCGGATTGGGACATAATAGGCTCAATCTAGTCCAAATGGACAGTTCGCGAGACTCCCCCCAAAACCGTCACGAGCGTCGTCTTTGGCCCTTTTTGTAAGGCCAAAGAGGTCGAGTTCGAGTTGGCAGAAGAAGGACTTCTTGGAGCAATTGACGACCACTCTGAAAACTGGTCAATTGCGCGAAGCGTGGCGGTTGCTCATATAACATCAGAATGGGTCTGTGGCCATTTCTGAAGAGGTGTCCTCCCGTTCATGTCTGCGATGTTCTTCGCAAAAAGGGTGAAGCCTCAGGAGTTACCGAGAGCCGAAGCTCCGGACATTCGCCCAAACCTGGAAAAGGAAAAAAGATGAAAAAAGGACAAACAGATCTACCTAATAGCTTCTTGTTACTACTAGTAAGGCACCTGTTACTACTAGGGTGGCACTTGTTCCTAGCTTCTGGATCTACCTGGACCCGAAAAGTCGCAGGTCTCCATCATGGTGGCTTTGGTAGACTGAAAAGGGCGTCGCAGGTGACCACCTTGGCCGTCGGGTCCTGGTACCTGGAACCCAAACAGGTGAAACACCTGTGTTTCCAACCGTGCGTGTGCGGTGCCGGGTCGGTTCACCACTGGACTGAGCTCGGCTTCTAAGTACCCACCGAAGTCTTCTTGGAAGGGTCCTGGCAACATCGCCCAGAGGGTGTAAGACAATCACACCGTGTCACCGCGAAACAAACAAACCGGTCGGATTTTTCGGGCAAGATCTCATCCACCTGCCAACCACCTCGACGAAAGTGGATCTTGCTTCTCGTTCGAGCTAATTGAAAAAGGTGGATCTTCTAAATACTAAGTGAAAACATGGGGATGATCCTTGAATCTTCAATTCGTCTCCATCCACCCCCAAAACTCCCAGGGAGTGTTTGCCGGAGACGAATCCCACGAAGAAGACCAAACCGCCGCGCGGAACCTTCCACCGCCTGCCTCCATGGTGATCCACAAAGGTGGTCGCGGGAATGGTGTATTCGAAGGGATAACCTGATGTTGGACCATCTTACACCGCCCTGGGAAGGGAAACACCACTTCCACGACCTCCCTGCGATCCTGGTCCATCCTGGCTCCGTGAGTCCGAGAACGATCAGACCACCGGACGGAGGGATCACCTGAAGGGAAAAAGAGTTGGACCGGACCGCCCAGAGCGGGCAAAAGACACCAAAACAACGCCCAGAATCCGGGTCTTGGTCCGTGAACGAGAACGATCAGGTTTGGGTAGGGTTGGTAGATCCCTGATAGTAAAACATGGGTTGTTTGGGATGACCCGGCGATGAAATCAATGGTGCGCCACGAGCTTCGTTCGTGACCGCACCCTTCAATGTCCTGGTTTGATGTAGGTCTGATGACTGAACCTTCCTGCACTTGACTAGGAAAAAGTATCGAACATAGGCACTTCTAGGACTTTGCAGGAAAATGAGGTCTTCATTGATGATATACAACCTCTTGTTTCAGTCCCCAAGTTGTTTGAAACCCAGAAAACCCAGCGATGTGACTGGGAGGACTGCGATGTGACTGTTCTTCTGAGCCAACAGACCCACCGGCGCGTGACCATCAGGTAAGGATGCAGCAGTCACCACATCCTAACGCCGGGCGATGGCCCGGGCCAGGCGCGGGAGGAAACACACCGTCGTTCTTCGGGGAAAGGGAGGCGGCCAAAAGAGGGTCATGGTCGTCCTTGTGTCCTTTTCGCCGACGACGCGAAGGGGGGCGATGAAGTAGGTAGGAGAGGAGACGTCATGGTCGTCCAGGCAGGTCTTGCAGGACCCCTGGTTTGGTCCGGGAACCATCAAAAAGATGGGAACGACCTGGTGTAGTGTAAAATCCTTAGTAAAACTACGGACGTTCTTCGGGATTCACATCATTCAAATTCATGATTAAGCCGTGCCGGCTTTGGGAGGCTACACCACCAGACTTCGAAGCTCCCACCGTTTTTAGGACATGAGACACAACACGACACATGGTGGTTTTCGACTGTTGTTCGACCCCGCCGAGTCGCTTCAGAAAGAATCCCTTCGAAGTGGAAGACTCAAAAAGTTTCCGGAGACTCGAAGAATGGAAAAAGAAAAACAGATAAAAAAAATAACACACACTGGACCGTGGAACAAAACTCCGGGCAAATGACTTGTTGAGCGACTGTCAGAGGTTTACTGGGACAGACCCAACTTCAGTTCGACCATTGAAAGGAAGGCCCGAAGAGTTTTTGTCACGTGATATCCTTAGTGAAACAAAGGCAAACCTGTGCACGATCTGCAAGGGGGGTCAAGATATTCCCACTAGGGGCGATCCTCATCCTATTTGGTAACCCTACAAGTCCAAAGGCCAAGTTTAACCTGGTCCTTGACTTCATTGAGTACTGGCTTTGCATGACCGGATCCAGTCAAATGAGGTCTTTGACCTGTAGGGTATAACATCAATGATGGTTCTCACGCAGACGCGTGCGGTTTTCACGACTGTGCGGCCTACCGCGGTCTATCGATCACCTCGGAAAGAGATGCGGCCAGACCACCCAGCACCACCCAAAAACCGGGTGGTTTCCAGACCCCCTCTACTATGAATTCTTGCATCCAACAACCACCCGAAATGGGTGGGGCTGGTGCTTGACCTGCTCGGTTTCATGCCCAGAACAGCGCGATCAGCCCAGCGGAAGAAGCCACAAAGAAACGCTGCATAGAATCCACTCACGGACGCCCCGGCAGTTGGCCGCGTGTGCTGCGCACCCGGACGCCGGGTAGCAGCAAACGCAGATGTCAGAAGGACAATATGCCTGTAAAGACCCATGGGAACCAGGTCCACATGCAACCTGGTTTTTTTACCGCTGGTGCCATGGACTCCCCGGGTCCACTGTCCACGTGACGTCAGGAGTGTATGACGAAATGATCATTGATCATCTGACAGAAATGAGTTCATTGAGAAGCGTCTTGGTATGGCCCTGTTCCTATCCAACAAATGTCAGATGGGTTCTAGACCAGGACCCTCCAAGGGGTGTCCAATGGACTTCCCCCACACTACCTATAGGCTTCCATTGGGCACCCCTTGGAGGGTCCTGGGACATTTGTCTTTATGTGCTATCTTTGGTAGTACACCTGTACGCAATTCAGATCCTCAAAGACCGCCGTCCTGCCCTGCACTGTCCGACATTTCCCTGCACTGTCACGCCAAGTGTCCATCTGCTGTTGGAGAACGGGCTGCGCCGCCGCCTGCACCGCCACCGGCTTAGAACTGCTCGCAGCAGACCCGCTGCCCACGCTCGCACTGCTGGGTTTCTCCACCACGGTGACATGCAAGGGGACGCTGGTCGAGAGGCCATTGGCATTGGTGGCCTTGACCTGGTGACACTGCGGAGGTGGGAGGAGAGAGGAGTGAAGGAGTTTGAGAAGGAACAAGGAATTGAAGAGGGTTTCAGTAGACCGTTCAGAAGGTCGAGGTTCCGGAAGGGTCTCAAGGGGACCTTTTATGCCATTTTCATGCGCTTGCGCAAGCAGCGCAAGCGCATGCGAGGTTGCCTTTGCATCGGATGAAAAGAGGTCGTATTCACAGCTCGTGCGGGTGATCCTTGCACTTTTAGTACGGCGGACTCACCATTCACCCCCCATCAACTAGGGATCATGAAGGTGTAGGCATTAGATTTTGGGGTGCTGTTGGGTCGGGCATTTTTGCACGGCTGGGGCTTTTTGCATGGATGAAAAGCATTGATCATTGAAAAAGACGTCAATCTAGCGTGCTTGTGTTGTTCTTGATAGTCACCGACACCCACTTAGAACATTTTTTGGATTATTCGACATAGTGACAGACAACCAGTTACACTCTATATTTATCTATATTTATCTATATGTGTGCTAAGTATGCTTTACAATGATGTTCGAAGTCATGTAGAAGTTCCAAGAAACGGAATCGATCATGCTCTATTAAGACAAAGACTAAGAACATGGCTATGATCTCAGTTATCAGCCTCGGATATTCTAAAACCTAACTGGCTATTCATAAAGGGGAGATCTTGGAAACAGGTTTTAAGTGAAACTGTCCGTCACTATACAGTAGTTTCACACACACCTACCACAAACATGTGATGAGATCTCGGTCAAAGAATCGCCGTTCAGCGCTTCAGCCGGAACAGTCTGAGCGCGGCGAAATCCCCCGGACTCTACGGTTCGGGGGCAGAAAGTTCTGCCGCCTGTTCTGGGCGTCAAGTCATGTGCATGTGTCTTAAGTAATTAAGATAGAGGGGATTCCCAAACCTGATGTGTCTTTTACATTGCAGAATCCCATGAGCCGAGCTAGAACGAGTAGTGACTTCGCGTTTGGTTGAAGAAGAAAACAGGTCTCTTGGGACAGAGATCTCATGGGCCGTTTTTTGGGGCACTTCATGCAGCTGTTGGACGTGCCAGAAGCCTATAGACTAGCCGAAAAGCATCCAAAAGGTCTCCTATACTTCCGAAGACTTCCATTTTGCAGGACCGACAAAGGAGCACATGCCTACTTCCCTTCAGAACACTCCTCTCTCCCGGTCTGTCCTCGAGGTTCAACTCTGAGGGTGCGGTGGGTGCCCCATTGAGCTTCAGGCCATCGAAGGTGAGCCAGGCTGGTAAGGGCTTCACGGACAAGGTCAGCTGACCACCCGTGGGATCCACGAAGGAACCCTTGGGCACCTCGTAGCTGAAGAGGTCACCTGGATCAGGATCCCAAAAAGGAAAAACCAAACGACGCTGGCTGCGACGCTGCTTGTAAGCTGGCTGGAGGCTTGCTGGATCCATTTGCGAAAAGGCCCGAAACGAAGCCACGAAGCCGCCGATAAAGAGCGAAAAGGCGGGGATTCGGAGCTTCCAGGTGGAGCCAGGAAAAGTGCTGTGTGCCTGGACCCGACTTCACAGGTGCTTCCTGGTGACAACAGGTGCCCAGGTTCACCACCTGTTTAGGCTTCTAAACCACCTGTTGGAAAGTCCTGGTGTGTATGTGTGTACCAGGACCTTCCCAAATCCCTTTGAAAAGGATTGGGTCGTGAAGGTCACTACGGACCTGTTCGTGACCTCAGCCACCTGTTCTATCTCCAGTTCGGTCGGATTTGTTGGGGCTCGTGGTATGTGTCTTCTTGTCTTCCTTTGTTTCACCCTAGGGCTCCTGGCCCATCTCCTCAGGTTCGGTGGTTAGGCCCCCCTGGCACCCACCCCAACCACCGAAACTGAGGAGGTGGCCAGGAGCCCTTTTGGGTCATCTCCTCTGTTTCATCTCCGGTGCCACTACGAACCGGATGCTCAGCTCGAGGTGCTGCGTGTGTGTCGTCACGCGGGAAACCGCGCGTGTGGTTGGAACGGTTCTCCCGTCAGCATTCACCATACGGCCGCGTGGTGGATGGCTGGTCTCCGGCCACCGGTCACCGGTCGAAGCGGGGCAACCGCTCAACGAGCTTTCACCAACCCACCATACGGCCGGGCCGTTTTACGCGGGGGGTCAGGTCCCCAGGTCGATTCGAAGCGACCCGAAAGGCAGGCTCAGGACGGTCATGGACCTACCGAAGATGAACCGAATATACCAGGACCATCCTGTCGGGGTGTCCTGGCTGGACTACCCCACACTACCTATAGGCTTCCATTGGGCACCCCTTGGATGGTCCAGGTATAGTCTGCGAGACATGGTCTTTGGGGCTCTGGGTTTTGACTCACAGCCATCTTTCACCAGAAAACCAGACGCGTCAGGGAGACCTGTCACTTCTATTGACTAGGGTTTGTCAAGCAAGCACCTGGGACCCCCTGGGACCCTTGTCTCAACCCGAAAAGAAAGATGTTCCCACATGGCACGAATCCGATGCATGAAAAGTGTGACTGTGACTGGGACCCTGGGACCCTTGACTCTCCACCCTCCACCCAGGATCCATAGGTGAATCAAGCAGTCCAACAAAACGGGGTATGAATCTCCCAGAATCAACCAAAGGCGCATTTAACAAAGAACTCGGTTACAACAAAGAACCAACAAAAGAACGTGAGTCAATTCTTATAAGTTGAGGACAACTTTCCACCAAGGTGTTGTAAGTGTCCTCAAGAGAGGTAGTTTTCCCTCGCCCCACCAAAGGTGCCGACTCTTTAGACTTAAGACTTGGAGTTCCCAAACTTCCCCCCACCAGATTCCCCAACCATCGCTTCGCTTGGAATGACTCGTCCATTTGGAGAACATGGCCGGAGTCGAGTTGGACTGTACCTTTTGCTGTTTCAGGCCCTAGGGATCCAAGTACCGAACCTCAGCAGGTGATGTGTTCGACACTGAGACATGTAGGTGCCTGGGTCGGGTCCAGTCGTACCGAACCTGAGGTTCGGTACGACTGGATCCCTAGGGAGGACATACCAAAACGTCCAAAACGTCAACCCGAACTCCTTCGACTCACGACCCGATCCCCTCCTCTTCACGTCGCTGGACTTGCTTCGAACGTCGAACGCGCGGAGGGGCGGAACTGGTCGGGGTGAAGGTGGAAGGATCCCATTGGCGGAACTGGTTGGCGCGTTCCGCCCGACAGGTCGACTCCCATGGACTACATGATGTACTCTGTGAAGCTTTGAGTCAGCCATCAGCCCCCCAAGACAACCGCCCCTTGACTCAAGTGTGCTCTTCGTCCATTTCTCCAAAACACAACACCAAAGGAAAACGACCTTCGCCGCTTAACGTCGCTGCCCCTACGTACTGTAACGTCCTGCCAAATCACCCACCTTTCCTGAAGCATCGGGCAAGGCTGAGGCAGTCGGTCCAGTCTTCGATTGAATGTCTGCCGTGTCCAACAAACTCTTGGCCCCCTCTTTCGCATCGCCATCGCCCACGTTGATGCGCAGGGGAACACTCTGCGAGCGTCCTGCAATGGATAGCGAGCGACATGGATGAAGCACAAAAATGGTGAACTCACAGAGAACCACAAGGTGAGGCAAGTTGTGTGAAGCATGTGGAAGAGTCGGTATGGGCCACATTAACAGTTGAGATCCCAGATCCTAGAATAGTTAAAAACACATCCTTGTCTCGGTGTGTAGGGATTCACAATCCAGTGCTTGCCTTCTATTGGGATTGGTGGCCCTTGCCATCCAAAGTCTTGGTTCTCACAGATCAATGAAGACCAACTGCTGGTTGGGATCTTTAATATCTTTGCGAAGTCAAGGCATAAAATGAAACTCATGTCCAGTTGAAGCACTCATTCGTGCGGCGAGTGCAGGCCGGATCCCATCCCCGGCTCAACTGAAAGCTTGCCACTCTCCACTCACTGAAAGCTGGCCCAGCTGGCGGTCCTACATTGTTGGTGGCCTTCACTTGCAACTGGATCTCTCCCTGTTCCAGCGGGATGCCGCGCAAGACTTGCCCATCGAAGGTGAGCCAGGCGGGCAAAGGCGAGGCGCTCAACATCAAACTGGAGCCGCTGGAGTCGGTGAACGTGTTGGGTGGCACCTCGTAGCTGAAGCTCTCACCTGAGGATCACAGCTACCCTCAAGAAAGCATTTTTCAAAGGATTGGCTCAACAAATAAGTGGGTGGAGCGGAGGGTGCTTGGCTGAAATGGGCGGAAACTCCAGAACCTTTCTTTGAGATGCTTCGTCCAGCCATGGGTCCAACCAAGAGATCGTAACGATGGGTGGAGCGGAAAACGATGGACAGCTTCAGTTCCCTTGGCTGAAGAGCCCAAAATTGGTCCTCCACCCAACGAAACCAGTGAAACCAACTGATAAACACTGAAACCTTTTTGGCCTTGGTCCTCCAAATCAATCTTTCCAAACCACCTGAAAACCACCTTTTTCATGTCAACGTCGCCCCGAGCCCTTCACCCAGCATCTCCCAACTATCACCTTCCAACAGGTCTCTGAACTGGAGGCTACAGAAGAAAAAGTAATCATTGTGGTCCCCAAATACATAGAAACGGTGTCCAGTACATTTTTTGTGGGGGATTTACTTTTCTATCTGTTTGGGGGTTCTGTAGAATCTCCTCTCAGAGCTTTTCACATCGACTCAACTACCAGCAGCCTCCATTTGAGGTGATATTTATCTATAATACTTAGCCTCTTAGAGTCTTAGAGGTGATTGGATTCGGGGCGTCCAAAACATCCCAGTGGCCCACGTGCCCCTGGCCATCCGGCAGCTCGGACGCCACCAGCGTGCCCGAGCGATCGGCCACCGGCGTGGCCGCCGTCAAGGCCGCCTGGGAAGGCCTCGTTCCGGTGAAAAGGACGTGGCGCATGGGCGACGAAAACAGAAGTTTGGATGTGCCTCAAAGACCTGACTCTTCCAACTATATGCCATATGTGCCGAATTTCTGCCTGTTCATTTGTGTGTGTGTGTGTGTCACCTCCTGTCCCCAAGGAGAACGACCACATCCTAGGTAGATTTCCACCTTTAACTGAGACCATGTACAGACCCGCACCTGAAGCAGAGATAGGGCAGGTGCCAACGAAAACACCTATCTCTTGCTTGTGATATCGACGGGAGACGTCCTGTCGACGTACCTGTTGACAAGCTGTTTACCATCCTTTTCTGTGAAGGGCTAGTGAGCCTTTGTTCCAACAAGACTGTTGTCGCGGACTCCTTCGCCTTTCCGTTCCCTCAGCCAAGGTCTACTTGCAGTAACACTGGAGTTCACAAACTGATATAGCTCTTGCAAGCATGGATTAATCAGTGTGTTCGAAGGACCGCCTGCCCTCCATTCATACCGACCTCCGATCTCAACGAAAACCCGCCTCACTTGGTCGACCACCTCCAGGTTGAACCGCACGATGTCCTCAACGTTCGCAGGCCGAACACCGCCGAGCTCGCCCAGCTCGCCGTGGCACCGCCGTCGACGTGAACGGCGCCGAAGTGGCATGGGGGGGGGCTGGTGGTGATGGGTGGTGGCGACCCTTCTCACACCAAATGTGCACTCCAGCACCGGTTCCCAAACGAACAGACTTCACTCCAGCACCATCACAGGGCCTAAATCGTCCTTCGGTGTTCTCCAAACCGGGGGGGCTTTCCTGAAGGTGTTTTTCCCACGGCCCGGGTATACCCTCCGGTCTCGCATTGGGTGGCTTTTTCCCCGAGAAGGAGAAGAAAGGAGTCGTCCGTGTTGAAACACGGGCCGCCAGCCCAGTGGCCCAGACTCGTCCCTGATCATCGATGGTCTGGATCTTGAGCTTGCTTGTTCCAAGCTCCGGAGGAGTGCCTCACCCGGGGCGGACTCGCCACTGGGAGCAGGTCATTTGGCGGAGAGCGAGCCAGGGAGGAAAAAGAGGAGTGAAGGTGGGGCAGAGGATTGAAATGCCCTTGTCTATGGCAAGTCCAAGAACTCTTCCTGTTCTTCCAGGGTTTTGAGTCACTCAAACAAGGTGAATGCCGATACATAAGGTGACTTGGTTTGTGCGATGGCTCAAATCCCTGATTCCCCACAGAAATATCAACAAACCACATTTGCCAATGATTGAGGCACCTTCGTCGTCCAAAATCATCGTTGGAGGCACCTTCGTCCTACAAATTCATCGCATCAGCCAATGAAAGGACCTCTTGATGAAGAAGTGTCAAACACCTTCCGAGAAAAAAGACTGCAAACCTTCGATGGATCCACCACACCCCAAAAAAAGAATTGCACTTGGAAGTCCATCAAAGCTTGCAAAACATATCCAGGTCCAGTTTGGTTTCTTGCTGTGATGTCTTCACTGCTTAGCGACTGTTTAGCTGCACGACCGTCTATCATCAAAACGATCCCATGCAACGAACGAGAAGACGATGTGCTACGTCTTCTGGCTCCACGATGTGGAAAATGAGAACGGCAGCACCAAACGCACCAAAACGCACCAGAGGAAAGAAAAAAGTGAGGCTTGGGCAGGGCCCTCTCAGGGCCCTCACGGGTCGTCCGGGTCCGTCCGTGCGGCTCGGACGACGAGCCGGGTCCGCGGGGTTGGGAGTCGCGCCGCGCCAGACGAGCGCAGACGGCACAAACACGGACCGGAGGACAGGTGGGACGCAGTTGTTGGATTTTCTGAACGGTTCTGGTTTTTGGGGGGCAAACACTTATCACATCGGGACGGTTGCTTCTTGGCCGGTCCCTTGCTGCCAATCTCGGACCGCGCGCGGACCGTTCAGGGCACATGCCTGCTGCAAATGCCACTGCTTCCAGACCTGCTTAGACCTGCTTAGACCTGATGCATCTTCCTGCCCTTGGGTGCTTCCATTGTACCTTCTTCCAGTAGAGACACACAGCACCCAACTACCTGCGACCCCGTTTTGATTCCCTAAGAAACAGTTGTTTGCAGTGTGTTTACTTAAAGGCACACGTAGTCTATCTGAAAGCTGCGGCCCTTTTTGACAGACACTCAATGCTTTGCATTGAAAGAATTGGAGAAAAAGAAAGGAGACGTTGGTTGGCGATAAGCAGGTGATTTTTGGAAGAAGTCTGCAAACGAGAAGACTTTTGCAAAAATGAATGCCGTTTAAAGAAGAATAGTTGAAAGCACTTTATCAAGAAAATCTGACACACAGTATAGATTCGTGTACTCAACATAGAACATCTGTCAAATGATGATAATATGTTGGACAAAAAACAGGACCCTTACAAAAAGAAACATGAATGCCACTGCTCCACAACAGCCTCCACATCCTGCCCACAACTAGTAACACTCATTGGTACCCTATGTTCCGAAACACCTCAACAAAAGCTTTTCAACGCAGGCCCCTCCAGCCCCTCCAAGAACTCATAGTTGTCAGAGTCTTGGAAGACTGACAAGAACAAAAGAAAAGAAAGACTGACAAGAGTCTTGCCCTTCTCTGACCCATCAGGGTGTGAAAAAAACTTCATGGGGGCATCGGGCCAATCTCCGAAACAGGGCGAGCTGGCGGCAGCCAGCTCGCTAGCTCTTGAAGCTCTGTGGACCGGTCTGCCTGTCTGCCCAAACAGTGCCAGGACATGTGTCTGCAACATGATTTGCATTTGAAGACACGGAGTCCCCAACCATTTTACTCAGTGTCTTCGGAGGAAAGAACTCTCGCGCATAAATATTCCTGCCACCCCTCGCCCCTCGATATCCTCAGTCTTGTCATTCCCTAGGGATTGGAGACATCGCTATGTAGGTTTGGATGGTCCAAGTACCCTGTGAGGTTCGGTACGACTGGATCCCTATAGTCCCGGGATTTGGGTCAACCGGCCTGTCACCACCTTCCCGATTTCGCGTGAAAGGCTCCGCAAAGCCGTGGAGTTCACCTCGAACCCGGAATCCACGCCTCTGGCCCCCCGTCTCCCCCCTGGTGCCTGACAAGTAGAAGGGCTCCGCATCTCCGAAGTTGGACCTCGTGGCGGCGCACGTGACCGGGCGGATGAGGGCGGATGGACCTCGGGCCTGGGAAGCTGAGTCGCGGAGCGCCCTATTGGGCGCCAGTCCGATGGCGCCCGAACGAAGCTCTGCTTGACGATCCAAGATGTTTGCCCCAACAAAAACAATCCTATTGATATGCAGTTGCTTGGTATCTCCGTGACGAAACACCTCCCAAGCCGATGAGCACGTCCAACTGGAACCGGCCAACCGCCCGGCGTACCTTTGACTGCCCTGCCAAGTCGCTTGTCGGATTCCTTCAAGCTCATCCAAGAGGGCAGCGGGTCTCCTCGAAGCTGCCAGAGGCAAAGGGCATGGAGGTATAAGTATAGTGGACACGGCAGCACCAGCTGCGGGTTTGATTCGGACTCTTGTTCATCCTCATTCCAATCCTAAGAGTCTAAATCCACTGGATGCTCTTTTCTTTTTTCTTGTTTGAGGATCTTTTGCGGACCGTGTTCAATGAGGTAGCCGTTCTGAAGTGCAGGCCACCATGTCCCTTCAGCACCAGCTCCAACTTCTAGATCACCCCAGATCACCCCACTCATGTGCAATCGAAATCAGATCGATTTCACAAAAAAATATAAGGAAACATGTGGAGCTCCTTTAAGCCACTGGATCTATGATGGTTGCTTCATTGCGTGATTGATTGGTTCGTTGATTGATATACATTGGGTCTATCCCACTATCCCATGACCAGTAACAGTGGATGATGATGGTTAGTACAGGCCTTTCTCTAAAATAGTCATGTTCTTGTCTACCGACGACTCTACAGTTACGGATTTAGTGGGACAGGCCCAAGATATACAAAACTTCAGCAACCGTTAATTTACAGTACTACTGTTTGCTCCAATCCTTCCTGATTGACTCTTGCAAGGCGAGAATTCCATGTTCACTTTGATTGTACTCACCTGAAAACGTGGGGAAAGGCGCGCTCCGGGTTGATCAGCGACTGGTCAACGAGTGAGGTGTCAGCCAAAGTTTGTTTTCCAGTGAACAAGCAAACTTGCTGAAGCAAATCCACCAATCCAACTTCATGTGGGCCTCGACTTGATTCCTTGCATCCAAAAAACGGCCTTTGGCCTGCATACAGAGACCCCAGCCCCAGCAGCCCCTGCATCCACAAAAAAAGAACCTCAAAAAGATCTTCTTTCGCCCCTCCTGACTCCAGGGTCGCACTGGTGGTAAGCTTCGTGTTGGCGTCCGTGGTCACCTCGGGCGACGGTCACCGGTCATTTGGGGCGATCCGTGTCACGCTGTGTCCGGTGTCCACCCTGCATCGAACGGAGAGAATCGGGTTTGGGTAGTTGACTGCACAAGGTTTCAGTCTGACGCATACGGCTTCAGTTCTGGTCTTTCTCAGAACAGTTCTGGTCTTAGTCTTAGCCTTAACGAGAATTCTGGGGTCCAACCGCGCTCTGAATGCGCTCTGAATCAAAAAGAGGAAAGCACCAGACATCGATCTGCTTCCTTACAGCAGTTCCAGGCAAACCACGTAACCACTTCAAATTTTGAGTGGCGAGCCAAATCCGGTTGTGCATCTCAAAAAAGCAAGGTTACCTATAATTACCTGTCATAGTATATTACTTAAGGCTTATATATATACCTAGAACCCATTTGACCTCTGTTTTGATAGGAAAAGACCATATTTTGGGTGGTTGGTGGTCCAAAATAGAGGTCACTCAGGTTCTAGGTATATATATATATATATTATATATATATATATGCCAGCTTTCGTATGCAGCAGAATGCTTTCTCGTCACTGTCCAAACGTTCGCAGTCTCCGTTGGTTCCCCCATCGCCGGCTGAAGACCCTCAACCCGCTCCCTCATCTGCTTCGCCAGGGCGCAGCGACCTTCAATGGCAGCTGAAACGGCTCGTTCACCGGAATCGTCTCGTCCTGGCGTGGGCGTTGGTCTCACCTGCTGCCCAACCTGACCAAACCTCGCCGAAATCGAAACCCCAAAGCTATCAACAGCCTTCTGCGCATCAACAGCCTCCCCAGCCATTTTCTGCCTCATTTCGACCCGCCTCAGACTCGAAAGGCCCACAAACATACCCACCCACCGACCTGTCGAGTAGGTCGAAGCCTTCTGCAGCGGGGACCGTCCTCCGCCTCGATCGAAACCACTCCGCTTCGATCGAAGCCCCCCGGGTCCTCCGTCCTCCGGTCCGCAGGTCCCGAACACCCGGAGAGCCTGAAGCCGGAAGACCACGGCTTGACTGTCGTCGTCCGCTTCCTCCTGGTCCTCCTTGTCCTCCGTCCTGGACTGTCGGAGTCTTCCACGGTCGTCTGAGCATCCGAAGGGCACGCTCGACGTGAGGCGAGCACGGTCGAGCAGCGGGACGTGGAGGCTCGGAGGCTCGGAGGCTTTTGGAGCAGCAGGAGGGTCGACCAGGGTCAGGCCGATTCTGGACTGGGATGACTTGGGGTGCTTGTCTTCCCGAAGAGCTGAGATCCATGCAGTTTTAGGACATGTTGCAACTACAATCAACTACTTCACCTGTTGCCTCATTACTGGCCAAGGGACCACTACAGGTCTCTACTGCCTGGTTGCCGGCTCTTCACTGACAAACACCCCATGTGAGCCGAATCCCCTGCTGCCGCCGAACGAGGGCCCCTCTTGACTCAAAGGATCGATGCCCATGGAAAAACCGAGATCAAACGTGGGGGGTGATAGCGTGACGTCGGCTCATCTGTCCAAGCCGCTCATGTGAAGCAGTGGAAATCGTGTTTTTTTGACCAAGAGTCTACATGAAGTGGACCCTTTACAGGCCTTTTTGTGACCTCAAACATAAGGGATCAAGTTCGGTCACGACTGGAAGAACCAGGTTTGCACTGATGCAGAACGTATCTGTTGCAAAGCGCTGCTCCCCCAAAGGATTCTCACTCGAGCGTCATGGAGGGTGGACATCATGAAGCTGCAAACAATGGTGGCAAGGAAACAAGACTTCTGACAATGGTCGCAAGGAATTGAAGCCAGCCAACGCTTCAGCGGTCCTGACCACCACCGGCTTCTCACAGCCCAAGCCCATCATATCGCAACAAAGCCTCGGGTGGAACGAGGCCAAAAACGAAGAAAACATGACATGGCAAAGCCTCTCGAACATCTCCAGAAGATTGAAGAATGGACACCAAGATCATGACAATGTATCGTCAGCCTCTTTGCTTCACGACCTTGCTTCACAGAAACTGCCAGAAAACCATGAAGACGCAGCCCAAAACAGGCACGAAACCATGTGTCTCTTTTTCTCCGGTCGAAAGCCCCGACCGGCGGCGACCGGGTTTCGAACAACCGCTTCCCAACCGCACCGCTCTCAGCTGCCCGGCTGGCGCTTGGTGTCGGACCACTCCGAGGCTTGCGGCAAATCACGCAGGCATTCCTGCCCGAGCACCGGAGTCCGGACGGGAGAGGACCCGACCTCGAAACAGTCCGGGGTCCGGGCCCGGTTCCCAAAGCCTATGTGTTGGGAACCGGGTCCGGATTCTTGGGGTAGAAGCCAGAATGCTCCGTTCGTAGGCGATGCCAGGAGCCTTGTGCCTAGTAGCGTCCTGGTGCCTAGTAGCGATGCTCTTGGCTCCTAGTCGAAAACAACCACTGGATCCACTACCACTTTCTGAGAAGGTGATTCGAGACCAGTGCCCAGTCTGCCCAGTGATACCTTCGAAGGTGGTGGATCCAGAAGGGGGAAGGGTGGAGCTGCCGAACGCTTCGAACCGACTGGAGCCGCGGGCTCGGCCCGGCGGTGAGAGCGCCGAAGCCGTTCGGACGGCCGAGCATCCTAAGTGTGTGGACCTATTGGACGGACCATCTCCTGTTGGGCGCTGAATCGCGCGCTTACCCCCCACTTGCCCTCCGGTTTCCTTTTTCAGAACACACAGATGTGGTACGGCCTAGATAGACACGCAGGTTTTTGTTCACCATGTTCTTGATCCGTGGATGGTCCCATTCAGGAGATAGCTCAGCTAGTGGCGTTCTGGTTCCAACCCACGGATTAGTATACCAGCTTCAGAGGTTCTGTAGTCAAAGTTTGCAGGTCACGGTCCAAAGACTAGAATCAAAATGCAGAGTCTAGTTGCCAAAGCCCGTCGGGCGGATAGGCTGGCGTAATGATGGTCCCATCTTCGCTGTCACATGTCCGCTGTCAAATGACTTCTGGAGGTGCCCTTGGTCAAATGTTGCAGAAAAAATAACCCTTGTTACTAGTAGCTTCTAGTTACTAGTGGTAATGGCCTCCACCCTAGTAGCGATGTCCTCCACCCTAATAGCGATGGCCTCCACATATCTAGCTTCCTGCTACTAGTAGTAAGGCACAACATCTTCAAAAGGGTTTCTTTGGGGTCCCGGTCTAAAGTGGCACATCCAAGAAACTGATCAAAACGCTCCGAATGCTTTCTCTTCTCTTCCAAGTGCCGAAGGCAAAAGGCATGGGGGATTCGCCCCCCTTCACACCTGCCTGGAAACCCAGTCCCAAGCAGAAAGAGTTCTGGATGAAAATCACTGCTTGTCCCAACCACTTGGTATGTAGATCCTTTCAGCATTTCTAGTTGAGACTGGGAAACCCAGGTTCAAGTGTTCCGGCTGGCTGAGGCTTCAGCGACCAGCGCTGACTTTTCTCGCACGGCGTCGGGAAAAACAGACGCCGGTCAAACGCACTTTGGAGGTCAAGCGGGCTTGTGTTCTGGGGCTATTTGGAGGGTACCTGGCACCTGGCCGGAAATGGGCATCAAAAGCATCAAAAGCATGTTTTTCACAAACGTGCAGCAAAAACCCTCAACATGGGCCAGTCCTTTTGGCATCCTGCATGGCCTTAGCTTCACTATTAGCGCAGGCTTCGCAAGCCGTTTCCCTGGAAGTCCATCCAACCCCGGGGCTGCCCACGTTGCCGGAACGCTTCGTTGCCCACGTTGGAGTGAGGTGGGGGGTGAGGTCGGGTACCCATTGGATCGGACGTACCAACAACGTGTACCAGGACCCTCCTGTCGGGGTGTCTATTAAGAGCCCAGCTGTGATTCGGGGTGTCCACTGACCACCCCTTTTTCAGTGTGCTGGTATGTTGTCCTTTCTATCCCTAGGGATCCGTTTTCGTACCGTTTTCGTCTCCGTTTGGTGAGGACGGAGATGACATGCAGGTGCCAGGAGGGTCCAGTCCCACCGAACCCAACAGGTTCGGTACGAAAACGGATCCCTAAGGGTCCTAGTGTTTCTCCTTCGTCTTCATTGTTTCTGTGTGTGCGTGTTCCTTTTTGTTCTGTTCCTGGTATAGACCGTTGCCCTCACTCTTACAAAAAAATTATAGAAGTCCAGCTCGATATGATGCCTCACTGAAGGAAAGGAAGGTGGTGGACTCAGAGCATGAAATCCATCAAAAGGACTGGGTTCCAGGTTCTTTGTAACCTCATCGTCCAGGTCTCGACTGACTGAACCTGCACCACCGAGCGCACCTCAGGTCTTTTGTAACGTCTCGGTTTTCCAGCCAAACAAAGTCTGAAACACCGGCCCATCCCAACAAAGGCGAACCCAAAACACAAATGAGGGCGAGATGGGGAGATGAGTCGCCTCTCCACATACCGTCTTCCATCTCATCCAGTCATACCGTCACACCCGGTCCACACCGTCCAGAGCCAGGCACCGCTTTGTCCGCTTTCTTCGCCGCCAGCTTGAAGACGGCCTTGGTTGCTCGGTCGGAATCCCAACTCGAAGAAGAGGGATCGTAGCTCGATGCCCAACCATTCGGTGATATATAATCACTGTACCAGGGCTCCAAGCAGCTTCTAAGAAGCTGTTTGGGGTGGGTGCCAGGAGGGTCCAGTCATACCGAACCTGAGGAGGTACGACTGGAGCCCTCCCACCGAGCACAATTGTTTGACCATAAGATTTTGATAGATTTTGCACTACAATCCCATGGTCGAACGGACTGCCGTTCGGCCGTCTCCAAAGGCTCTCTATGATCAGAACCCCACCGGGCAGTGTCCAAAACAAGCGATGGACACCCCGAATCACCTCTAAGGGGTGGACACCCCCGGGAAGAGCGCATCAGCTCTTGAGTCGTTTTGAGCGCATCAGCTCGCCCTTTGGTTCAAACCCTTTGGCCTTTGGTCGTTCGCCCGAGAAAGCGCCTTGGTACCGTGAAACGAACGCTGCGGCGCGAAAGCGCGAAAAGAAGCCCACAGCCCAACAACCGAACATCAGTTTGGCCACATCAAAAGCATGTTCAAACAAGGTCACGTACCGACGTACCTCTGATCATTCTTACTCATGTGATACCCCCCCAACTCCACCAGGCTGATCTCCAATAGAAGCAGTTCAGACATCACACCAATTGTCCTCCTCCCCTTGTTCAAGCCACTCACCCCCCCAACCCAAACAGGGCAAACAGAACCCAGAACCCTCCATCCAACTCCATGAAACGCTCCGCTCTCGAGCGGACGAGCCCCACGGTCTGGACCGAGCGTCTTCCGTCTCTTTGGGCATGGAGCCCAGACTCCGGTCGTCCAGGACGGCGCCAGCCTGGGCGCCTCGGTCAGCGGGGAGGAGACCGGTACATCCAGATCGGTGTGGATGGTTTGGAATTCCGGAAGCTGAAGCTGAAAGTGGTTTTACTAAGCATTTGGACACGACCAAGTCACAAGTCGGTCCCCTTTTTGTGGGTCTTGGACCTTCCAGTGCATCCATATGGGCGTGTCATGGGAAATCCAGGAAATCCCCCCCTTTTTCGCCTTTGGCGGGTTGGACTGGTCTATGTTCCTTCTTCCTTGAGGTCTTTAAGAGGTCTCCCTATTGTAAGACACGTCCATATGACCGCGTTTGGTTGTTCACAACCGGGCTCCCCTCAATTGATCCGCCAGTAAAAGGCCCTCGGTGGGCAAGGCCCACACGTCCGCTGCTGTTTCGCCGCGGTTGGGCTCCTTTCTTGCTACGTGCACACCAGATCCGACTCCGAAAAAGGTCCAAGAATGAATGATGGACATGTGACTTTGTGTTTCAAACGCCTTGAAAGAACACCG